TCAGGGCTTAGGGTTTTTAGGGTTTAGGGCTTCTAGGGTTTAGGGTTTCTAGGGTTTTTTAAAGTTTTTTAGGGTGTTAGGGTTTAGGGTTTAGGGTTTAGGGCGGGATGCTCCTTTCTACGCTTTAGGGCTTTGGTCGGTCGTGCAATGGTCTCATTTTATGCCGCGCAGGTGCCCGCAAGCCTTGACCCTAAGACCCAAACTACTCAACCCTAAACCCTCAACAGTTGCAACTTCCTCATCTTCCAGGTGTCCTGCTCAGGATAGTTAAGTTCCACTCGGCAGCAGCCGCACCTGACAGAAGGGACATAGACCTGGTTGACGAGGGCTGAGCCATCCATCTTCGAGAGATATCAGCAACATACTCCTCAATGTGGTCCCTTCTGCCCTCATTCCACTTCCGATCCCATCGGACGAGCAGCTCCTGTGTCGGCTAGGTCGCACACGACTGCCGAGATTTGTCATCTGTTTTGGCAAACCAATACACGGTGTGTACGACACTCAGAGCCCTAAACCCTAAACCCTAAAGCCCTAAACACTCAGATTGCTTTTGCGGCATGGCTAGAAAGGCAGGGGCTGGATGCTTTCCAGCCAGCCTGAATCCTGAAAGTAACCTCAGCGCCCTAAACCCTAAACCCTATGCAATCTTAAACCCTGAAACTTACACCTTGAAGCCACGCACAAGTTTAGGAAAGATGCCGAAATAGATTCGAGTGGACATCGTCTGCAGCACGTGGACATCCTGCACGGCCGTGGAGCCGTGGTTTCCGTCGTCGCCCTCCTGACTTCGAAGCTTCACGGCTGGGGCTTTTAGTGAAGGATCCAGGGTTTAGGGCCGACCTTAACCTACCCAAACCCACATTTTTGTAGGTTCTTATTCTACACCCTAAACCCTAAACCCTAAACCCTAAACCCTAAACCCTAAACCCTAAACCCGAATATGGGATTTAAAGAGGCCCTACAAAAAGGTAGGTTCTGGTGGGTTAAGGTCGGGCTTCAGAAGAAGAACCGGGGATTTCAGGGGTGCGAAGGGCCTTCGGGGACTCTTGGAGTTGCGGGCTCAGTGTTTAGGGGGCTTAGGGGTTAGGGGTTTAGGGGTTAGGGGTTTAGGGTTTAGGGTTTGGGGGTTAGGGGTTTAGGGGTTTAGGGGTTTAGGGGTTTAGGGTTTCTCAGACCTCTATTTTTTATGGGGTTCAAGGATTCAGGTTGGAGGCCGCAGACGGTGGGATGAAGCTACGTAGGGTTAAGAACCCCTTAGACCCAGAGGCTCCCAAACCCCTTAATTAAGGAATATACCTTTAAATCATATTGTGGACCCAGTTAGGTTTAGGGTTTAGGGTTTAGGGTTTAGGGTTTAGGGTTTAGGGTAGAATCCCTTATATAACCATAACCTAAACCCTAAACCCTAAACTCTTCGTGGCCACCCTTGGAGCCCGTGGCTCAGGGCTCAGAGTTCAGGGCTACACAGTTTGGTAAGCGAGGTTGACACGTGAGCACGTCGGTTCTAGAAAGGATTTAGGGCTTAGGGTTTTTAGGGTTTAGGGTTTAGGGTTTAGGGTTTAGGGTTTAGGGTTTAGGGTTTAGGGTTTCCACCGAAGCCCTAAAGCCTTAAAGAGCCTCGCACAACTCTCGCACTTCCCCAACTCCAAAAAGAGCCCTTCGATCACCCCTCTAGCCCGTATAGAACTCTCTCAGTCCCTTTCAGAACCCATGCACTCCGGTGCCGAAAGCCTTCTTGAGACTCAAAATCCCCTTTCTTAAGGAATCTCCCCGAAATCATCGTCATAATAATAGAATCCCTATATGGTAGTTTCGGAAAATTAGGGATACTTTATTTTGGGGTCCCTATAATAAGGATCCTACTATTAAGTCTACTATATTAGGGTTCCCTATTTTCGGAAACCCCCATATGAGTTGAGGTCCATTCCGTAATTACGGGGTTTGGGAGTCCCTAAACCCGAAGCCCAAAAACAGAAACCCTGAACCCTTTGAACCCCTGAACCCTAAATCCTTGAAAAAACCCTGAACCCTAAACCCTGAGCCCTCAACTCTTTAAACCCCTGAACCCTAAACCCTGAACCCGAAACCCCCTTTAAACCCCTAAACCCTTTAAACCCCTCAGCCCTAAACCCTTGAAACCCCTAAACCCTAAACCCCTAAACCCTAAACCCTAAACCCCCTTTAAGCCCCTTTAAACCCCCTTTAAAGCCCTAAGCCCCTAAACCCTAAACCCCTAAGCCCTGAACGCCTCGCAGAGCGAAGGGATCATCTTCGTCCTGTACAGCTCGAGGAGTCGCTGGTTCACCTCGCCGGCATCACAGGAGGTCGCGCCGTGATTTAGGGTTTAGGGTTTAGGGTTTAGGGTTTAGGGTTTTTGGGGTTTAGGGTTTAGGGTTTAGGGTTTAGGGTTTAGGGTTGATGTGTAGAGTTTAGATTTAAGGTTTGCGTAATATGGTAGAAGCCAAAAACTTGGAAACCCAATGGCCTCAATCCTTAAGAGTAATGTAAAGGGAATCCCAGCACTATTTGACCTTAATCCGGTTTCCAAATTTTTGGGGTTTACTATAAGGGTTTAGAGTTTACGGTTTAGGGTTTAGGGTTTAGGTGTAGGGTTGCTATGTAGAGTTTAGATTTAAGGTTGGCGTTTCAGGGTGGAGGCCTAGGATTTAGAGTTTAGGTTCAGGCTTGGAGTTTTGGGTTTGGGGATTATGGTTTGGAGATTTCTTTTTTTGGGATTTTTAGGGCCTGGGGCTTGGAGCTCCAACCCTAAATGCTAAACCCCAAGCCCGGCTCAAGGAGGACGCTGGGCTTTCCGCAACGGGGTTAGCCAAGGAGAAGGACCCACAGCAACCCCAGATGAATCTCTTATACATACAACCCTTCTACATCATTTCCTTAGAGACGCCTTGCGAACGCCTGTATAAACCCCTCATGTAATACAACCCCTACGAATCCCTCCTACAACCCGCAAGAAGCCCTCGTAGAAACCTCAGAAAGCATGTGTTCACACCCCAAGCCCAAAAACCGAAAACCCAAACCTTGCTTTAGAGCCCCTGCAACTCCCTCCTAGAACCGTTCTAACAACCCTATAGAACACCCGCCTAAACCCTAAACCTAAAACCGACACTCCTCTCTGTTGTCAACCAACTCTGAACCCTAAACCCTAAACCCTAAACCCCAAACCCCTAAGCCCTAAACCCTCAACCGTAAACCCTGAACCCTGAACCCTGAACCCTAAACCCTGAACCCTAAACCCTAAATCCTAAAACACTAAACCCCTAAACCCCAAAGCCCGACGTGTCCTTCCCCTGCCTTGGCTTCTGCCGGCACCGGCGCTAGTACCGGCTCCGCCTGGATTGTTTAAAGTAAATGAAACTACAAGTGGGGAGTTTAGGGTATATAGGGCTTCTATACGGCTTCCATAAGGTATATAAACCTTCTATAAGGCTCCTATAACGGTAACTACCCACCTGAAGACTGTTCATGAAGATGTTATCATGGCTTTTGGGTTTAGGGGGCTAAGGGTTTAGGGGTTTAAATAAGGTGGGGAGTTTAGATATGGCTTTGGGGTTTAGGGGGGTAAGGCTCCAGGGTTTAAGGTCAGGGGTTTAGATATGGCTTTGGGGTTTAGGGTTTAGGTTGCAGACTTGTTTTTTTGTTTAGGGGTTTAAAGTCAGGGTTTAGGTATGGGGTGTGGGATTTAGGGTTTAGGCTTCAGGCTTGTTTTTTTGTTTCGGGTTTGAGGTCAGGGTTTAGATATGGGGTTTGGGGTTTAGGGTTTAGGTTTCAGACTTGGGTTTTTATTTAGGGTTTAAGGCCACGGGTTTAGATATGGGGTTTGGGGTTTAGGGTTTAGGTTTCAGACTTGCTTTTCTGGTGCAGGGTTTAAGGTTTGGGGCTTGGGGTTTAGGCTTAGGCCTCAGGTTTAGCGTTTAATTAGTGTTCTGGGTTTTCGTTTTCGGATTTTGGAGGATCTGTATTTGTATGAGTCTTATGCGGTTCTGCGGGAAACATTGGGATGGTACAGCGGTTTTACTCACAAGTGCTTTCTTTAGGGGATGTCCGCATTCCAGCGTTCCGATGCCTGGTAAAGAGAACATGACCGGCAGTCTGGACTGAGATTGCAAGCTCGCGTCAAACCGTCAGTCGAGCGAATACTGCCGGAAGCCAATGGAAGTGCCTGCAGCCATTGGTTCGATAGCGAAGAACAGCCGATGGAGCGTCGTCCCACATTGGCCCCCCTTTAAACCCTAAACCCTTAATGCAGTGAGCCTAAATAATTACCAATTTTCTGTTGGGGGCTCCTTATTATAATCATACTACAAAGGAACCCAAAACCCTATTCTAAGTATTCAGGCCCCTATATTAGACCCTAACTGAGACTGCGATTGCCCGTAGTGTGCCGTTGAGGGATTCTTGCGCCAACTTTCTGGGTCCACAGGAGCCGCAAAGAGCGGGGACAGCTGCGGCAACCGAAGCGGACGGAATCTAACAATTTAAAAATCTGAACACATTACCAATAGTATTCCCCTCATTTCCTTGCTATACACAATAATCTAACTATCCAAGCCCCAATATCCCGCCGCCCGCCCGATGCTACACCCTGAACCCTGACTAGAAGTAGCAATGCAATACCACTCTCAAGCCCCTGAACCCTTTTGACTGCTAAATCTGAAGCCTCTTCCCCGAAACCCGTAACCTCGTTGCCAAAGCAAACCGGGAGCATCAGCCCTCA